TGTTGACCAGGATGGTCTTGATCTCTTGACCTCGTGATCCACCCGCCTCGGCCTCCCAAAGTGCTGGGATTATAGGCGTGAGCCACCGCGCCCGGCCAGCTTTGTTGTTTTTTAAGATGAACTCTTGCTCTGTTGCCCAGGCTGGAGTGTAATGCCACAATCTCAGCTCACTGCAACCTCTGCCTACTGGGTTCAAACGATTCTTCTGTCTCAGCCTCCTGAGTAGCTGAGACTACAGGCATGTGCCGCCACGCCCAGGTAGTTTTTTGTATTTTTTGTAGAGACTGGATTTCACCATGTTGGCCAGGCTGGTCTCAAACTCCTGACCTCAAGTGATCTGCATGCCCTGGCCTCCCAAAGTGCTGGGATTACTGGCGTGAGCCACCACACCCCGCCATTTCTTATTTTTATTTTTGAGACACAGTCTCGCTCTGTTGCCAGGCTGGAGTGCAGTGGCACTTGTATTTTTTGTAGAGACTGGGTTTCACCATGTTAGCTAGGCTGGTCTCGACCTCTTGACCTCGTGATCCACCCACCTTGGCCTCCCAAAGCGCTGAGACTACAGACATGAGCCACCGCACCCGGCCTTAAGTTTTTAAAATTATTTTTTAGTGGAAAGGTCTCACTATGTTTCCCAGGCTGGTCTTGAACTCCTGAGCTCAAGTAATCCTCCTGCCTCAGCCTCCCAATGTGCTGGGATTACAGGGATGGGCCACCACACCGGGCTCGGGTACTGTTTTGCAGATCAGGTGAGCCTAAGGTTTCATCTCAGGGCACACTGCTGGCAGAGCTGGCTTTCCTCCGTGACCCCGGCAGGCAAGGAGCCCACATACTGCTGCCCCCGGGAGCCAGCACCCTGGGGTGTGGCAGTGCCTCCCTGCTGGGCAACAGGGCCACTGCGTGGTGGGCCGTTTTGGTGCAGTCTCCAAGGCAAGGATGGAACAAGCCGGGCACACAGCATCCTGGCAAGGCCACAGGTGTCAGGGGCAGCCCCTCCTGAGGGGTCATTTCCTGGCTGGGGCAGGGTTGGGCAAAGAGGCTGCAGGCTCATTTGCTCACCCAGATCCTGCAGCCCAACCTTGAGCCCAGCTGGAGGTACCAGGGCAGGGGCGTTGTGGTAGCTTGGGGCCTCTGCACCCCCATCCTTCACCACCACATCTTCCTCTTGGCCTTTCCCCGCAAGACCTCTGGGGCCACTCCAGCCCCCAACCCTGCCTGGCTGGCCTGAGCCTCACCCCGAAGGCTCTGTCACACTCATTCATTCATCCAACAAGTGTGTATTAGTGCCTGGTGCTCGGTGATCTTCCAGTGACCCCGGGTTCTAGCAGCAAACAAGACAAGGTCTCTGCCCTGGCAGGTCTGAGGGCCCAGTATGCTGAAGGGCGTTTTTGACAGTGTGTGTGTTGGGATGGTACAACCACAAATAACTGGACATTCAGATGCCAGCAAAGGAAACATTATCTCGCGTGATCAGAAACCCAGAACTGCTGTGTACTGCCGGCTGGACACCAGCAGGCCTGAAAGCTTCGGCTGGCAGTGGGCACCTGGGGCCGGGGTGCCTAGCTCAGCCTGGCAGGCTTCTCCCTCTGGTCCAGCTGCAGCTGCTAGCCGGGCGTGAGCCCAGAATCCTTGCTTGTGGCAGCAGGAGACTCCAGGAGCCTGAGCAGAGCCGGGCGCATGTGTGTGCATGTGCATGTCATGTGTCCACAGGCTTGTGCTCCTGTGTGGCATGTGCACGCCCATGTGCTCCGGTTCGTTGATGTGACTGCATGGATAAGCGTGTGGGTGGCCTTTGTGTTCGTGTGTGTGCACACGTTGCTGCGTGTGCATGTGAGGTCAGGCTGTGCAGCCTGCGCCAGGCCGGTGGCTGCCGGCTGCAGGGAGGTGAGCGCGTGTGGGCTCCTGCCTCCTCCCCTCCCCCCCACCTCTTCTTTGCAGCAACATTCCTGGAAAGCCCAGCACAGCCCTGCGCCTCTAGGTCTGTGTGCATCAGGCAGCTTCCTGAGTGCCGGCGGGCCTTGTCTCTAGCGGGGGTGTGAAGAGGCTTGCTCTCCAGGAAGGCCCTGCTGCCTTGTAGGGGAACAGGGTGGAGGCGACTGGCATGGCAGCCCTGTGGGACTCCGTCCAAGGCCAAGCAGGGGCCGTCTTCAGGCAGGAGAGGCAGGTGATGGCCCTGGCGGCTGAGGAGGGTGT